CTTTTATTATAATTCAAGAATAGCTTAAATAATTATGTTTAATACACTAAACAAAAAATATTTAATACTATAAAAAACTTTATTTTAATCTTAACTTTAAACCCAAACTCTAATTCAAATTCTATTTTAAATTTAAGCAAAAATTAAGGTTGGTTAAAAGTTTATAATTTAACTAGGAATTAAAGTTAGCTAAATTCAAAAAAAATAAATAAAAATAAAAAAAAATAAAAAAAAAATAAAAAAAAATAATAAAAAAATAATAAAAAAATAATAATAAAATAAAAAATAATAATAAACAAATAAAAAATAATAAAAAAATAAAAATAAAGGAAGTCTTAAGATTATCAGTGCACGATATTTAAGGTTACGCAATAACATTATAAGAAGCTATATAAAGCCAATTGCGAATATTGAAGATTAATTAAAATATGTCTATAAAACATAAAAATTATACGGTTAAACAAAAGCTTGAAATTATTTCAAAAGCAAAAGAAACGTCTAATAAAGCAGCAACGAGAATATTTGGTGTTGATCATTCTCAAGTATCCAGGTGACAAAAACAGAAAAAAAGTTAGAAGAAGCTGTGCATTCATATAGAAGTGTCAGTTCTGGAAGGAAAGCTGTATATCCTCTTGCAGAGGAGGCGTTAAATAAATAGGTTGTTCAATTACGACAAGATAGTCTTGCAGTAATATTGTCTACAATAAAGTTTAAAATGAAAGAGCTTCTTAGAACTAGGTTTCAACAAGATTACCTTAATGCTTTAGAAACTTTCGAAGCTTCAAATTCTTGGTGCTAGGGATTTATGAATCGATATAACCTTGTGCTTCAATGCCATACTAAAGTTAGGCAGAAACTTTCTCATGAATTATCTAAACAATTAAATCAGTTTTATGAATTTATCAAAAAGTCGCAACATATAAATAACTATGAGTTATCCTATATAGCAAACATGGATGAAACACCCATTTACTTTGATATGGTTGGCAATCTTACTGTAGATTACTGTTCAGCAAAAACAGTTCAAATAAGAACTACAGGTAGGGTTAGACAAACTTTGTATATAATAGTTATATCCTGTGTAGTTGGGTATGAGGAGAATTTTGTAGTGAATATAATTGGTCGCATAAGTAACCAATTATACTCACTGCAAAATTCCCTTTATACCTAACTACACAGGATATATTATAGTTTAACTTACACTAAAACACTTATTGTAACTACATGTAACTCACATAAGAAATTTTAAACTTATAAAAAATTCCCAACCCTAACTATAGGCAATGAAAAAAACTGGTTCACGTATGTTCTTGCAATCTTGGCTGATGGAGTTAAACTCCCCTCATAGTAATTTTCAAAGGCAAAAAACTTCTCTGAGGTCCATTTTCCTTGGGTATCGTTATTAAAATGCAAGAAAATAGGTGGATGAATGAAACTTTAATAAATGAATAGTTAGATGAAATTTGGAAAAAAAAGATTTCAATTTGTGAACAAAAACGTAGCTTATTAGTAATGGATTCTTTTGAAGAACATCTTACTGACTCTGTTAAAGCAAAATGTAATGAAATGAACATGGTTAGAGGCATAATCCCTGGTGGACTTACTTCGTTAGTTCAGCCGCTTAATGTGTATATCAACAAACCGTTCAAGAACCGAATGTAAGAAAAATGGCAAAACTAGATGGTACTTGGTGGTTTTAATTTTACGAAAGGAGAAAATTTAAAAAAACTTCTATATAATCTTATTTGTCAATGAATAGTTGAGGCGTGAGCTAATATTCTAGCTAAAATGATCATTAATTCATTTAAAAAATGTGGTATTTCTCACAGTATTGAAACAGAATCAGAGGAACAAATAGTAATTTCGGTAGATGATGAAGAAAATTATCTGATCGTTTATATTGAAAATCTGCCTGACTACTAGTTAGTAATTAAAAAAAACAAAAAAAAAAACAAAACAAATCTAAACCTAAACTAAACTACTTAATTAAGATTAGATAATTGTACAAGCTAATATATATTTAGCAACAAATAATCCATACGAATTTAAATTACTTCTTTGTATAACCAGAGATAGTTTTACTAAAGATTCAATTTGAAATTTATGCAATAAGCTTGAAAGTTAATGATACTAATGAAATCCTCGGTGATTATAAGATAATAAATATCTTTTACTATAGTTCATTTATTAAAAATTACAAATACTAATAGCATATAAAGTCTTGGTGAATTAGAATTGTGATTTTATAATATAATGCAAAACTATAATGCAAAACTATAATAAAGCTATTGAATTTGCTTAATACAAACATTTGAAGACCAAATTGATTGAAAATTT